GCCCAATTTTATTTATTCTTTCAAAAAACCAATTCTTTGATTCATTAATTTTTTGTATCGTTCTCTTAGTCTCCATTGCATTGATTTCTGCTCTGATCTTTATAATTTCCTCTCTTGTATGAGCTTTGAGTTTGTATGCTCTTCTTTTTCTAGGAGCGTGAGGTTCTGCATTAGGTTATTTAACTGAATTCTGTTTTCCTAATATGGGCATTGACTGCTATAAATTTCCCACATAGAACTGCTTTCATTGTGTCCCATAGATTCCTGTCTGTTGTACTGGCATTGTCATTTGCTTGTAGAAACTGTCTAATTTCTTCTTTAATTTCCTTTGTGACCCATTGGTTGTTCAGGAGGGTGTTTAAATTTATTTTCCATGTGTTTGTGGGAGTTTTGCAGTTTCTTTTGTCATTGATCTCCAATTTTATTGCATTATGGTCTGATAATATACAGAGGGTAACTTCAGTTCTTTTACATTTACTTAGACATGTTCTATGAGCTAGCATGTGGTCCATTTTGGAGAATGACCCATTGTGGCCGAAAAGAATGTGTATTCTGATTTTGTGGGGTGGAACACTCTGTAACCATCTATTAAGTCCACTTGTTCAATAGCTTGGTTCAGTTCTAGAATTTTGTTGTTAATTTTTGGTCTAGATGATCTGTCTATTTGTGATAGTGTGGTGTTGAAGTCCCCCGCTGCAATTGTATTAGTGCTTATTTGATTTTCATGTCCATTAATATTTGTTTTGTATAGTTGGGGGTATGCATATTTGGTGCATATATATTAAGGATTGTCATCTCTTCCTCTTGGATTGTTCCATTCACAAGGATGTAGTGCCCATCTTTGTCTCTCTTAATTAGTTTTGGTTTGAAATCTACTTTGTCTGCAAATAAGATTGCTACCCCTGTTTTTTTCTGGGTTCCTGTGGTGTGGAGAACTGTTTTCCATCCTTTTACTTTCAGTCTATGAGTTTCCTTTTGAGTTAGGTGTGTTTCTTGTATACAGCATATTGTTGGATTTTGCTTCTTAATCCATTCTGTCAGT